TCAACTAATGCAACTGCAGTCAAGAGATGTTTAGGAAATACAACTGAAAGGATCTGATGGCCAACTGAATGTGAGGGAGGAAGAAAAAAAAAGACTAAACTCCAGGTTCCAAGTTGGGTGACTGGGTGGGAGGTGGTGCCATTCATAGAAGAGAAAGTTTATGCATCGCAAAATATGTCATTTCTGAAAGTCCTCAAATGTCCCCATCTTAAACCATTGTCTCACCCAGAACATCTCATGCACAAACTCAGGATGCCTCCACTTGTCTTACTTCCACAAAATCACTTCATGCCCCCACCCCCACTCCCACTCCCACCTAGTACTCGTTTTTGTCCCCCAGGCTGTTGGCACCCACTTTATCTCACCCTCCACCCCGGTCATTCCCTGGCAATTTCACACACCCACCTCTGGATCAATCCAAACAGATTCCTTCTGCTTTCCCCCATCCTATTTGCTGAGCAAGACTGGAAACAGTTTATATTTTAAAGCAGCAGGAAGCCATTGGAAAATTTGAAGCAGGAGAACAATATGATATGACTTGGGTTTTTTTTTAGGGGGAAGGGGTTATTTGTTTGTTTGTTTTGAGCCAGGGTCTCATTCTATTGCCCGGGCTAGAGAGCAGTCGCATCATCATAGCTCATTGCAACCTCAAACTCCCAGGCTCAAGCAATCCTCCTGCCTCAGCCTCCCAAGTATCTGGGATCACAGGTGCACGCCACCATGCCTGGATAATTTTTAAAAATATTTTATAAAGACGATGTCTCACTCTGCTGCCTAGGCTGGTCTCAAACTCCTGGGCTCAAGTGATCCTCCCACTCAGCCTCCCAAAGTGCTGGGATTACAGGTGTGAGTAGCCTTGCCTGGCCTGATTTATATTTTAAAGGGGGATATGTAAGCAAAGGGGTGAAGGCTTTTAGGGCTGCAACTCTATCACTGCTTTCACCTCAACATACTTAGGATTTTCAACTGTCTTTGTATTATTTATCTGTGGTCAGATCTCTGGACCACAGGCACAAAAGCTCTTCTCAAACCTTGCCACTCTCCTCAAGCCTCCCGCAAACTGTGGCCCATCCTTGACTCATCAAAAAGAAAATAAGAGTCATTAAAAACATTCTTCTAGTCCAGCCCACACACTGATCTATAATACATTCTCACTTTCCTTTTTCTTACCCACCTACCTCAGAAGAAGGCATGTCTCTTCCTGCCACTCCTAACTTGTGCTCGGAACCCACTCCTTCCATTCTTCTCTGGCTCTATCAATTATCCCCGCTTTCTCTGCATCTTCAGACTTTCTCTCAACTGACCATTCTTTTCTCTTTGAAGAAAAGAGAAAGAAATCAAATCATACACCATCTGTATCAGAAAGGATTATGTTTGTTATGAGTAAGAGAAACTATTTGAATTAACCAGACACAAAGCGCTCATGATAAGATGGGGTGGTTTCACTCAGAACCCAGATGGCAGCCTTTCCCCAGGCCTAGAGAAGGATTTGGAAGCAGAGCCTGGCTGCTCCTCCCTGTCTGTCCTGTCTGCACACCTGCAGCTCACTTCATCCACCTCTCCAGGCACCAGCTCCCAAGACTACCCAACCAACCAGGAAGGATGGGCTTTTTCTCTCTTGGCCCAAATTCTAAATTTCTTGGTGGAAGTATTGCCCCGCTTGGATGATGTACCCCACCAAGGGCCAATCAACTACAGTCAAGGGGGCAGCAATGTACAAACGTGGCTCCCAGAAGTCCACCCCTGTGACCATGTACATGGGATATCGGTTAGTGATAGGCCAGGCACAATGGCTCATGCCTGTAATCCCAGCACTTTGGAAGGCCCAGGCAGGAGGATCACTTGAGTCCAGGAGTTCGAGACCAGCCTGAGCAACATAGCAAGACCCTGTCTCTACAAAAAACAGAAAAATTAGTAGGGCATGGTGGTGCATTCATGTAGTCCCAGTTACTCAGGAGGCCGAGGCAGAAGGATCACTTGAGCCTAGGAGTTGGAAACTGCACTGAGCTATGATCGGGCCGCTGCACTCCAGCCTGGGCAACAGATGGAGACCTTGTCTCAAAAACAAAAAATAAAATAAAAACAAAAAAAAGAAAGGGGACTTGTCACTTGTATAAATTCCCCTCTGGCTATTGCCAAATCTCCTTCTATCGCTTTATAGCGAAGACTCTTTAAAAGCATAGGCTCCACATTTTATCCTCTTCTTTGTTCCAGTGTCCTCTGCATTCTGTTCTCCACTCCCTCCACCACCCCTCCTATTAACTGTTTCAGTAAGATCACTTTCCAGTTGTCAAACCTAAAGGACACACTTCAGTACTCGTTTTCCTGATGTCTCTTCAGCACCTGACACTGTTGACAATTCTTTCCACCTTGGAACCTCACGCCACTTTCTTGCTTAAAATTCTTCAATGGTTTGTCACCACCGAAAGCTATAAGTTTAAATTTCTTTTAGTCATGAAACTCTTTGTTTAAAAGAAAAGTCTTTCACTTATGCCCACCTTAATTAAATAGATAAAAGGAGAGTCAGTGTGGTGGAAACGGGGTGGGAGACCCAGAGCCCTGCCTACCTCGTCCCATCCCCAGATGACCCATGTATGGACTCCAAGGGGTACTTGCAGCTCCACTGAGTATAAACTGAAAACCACAAGTCCCTAGGATAAACTCCAAATTCTTTAATTTCATAAATAAGGTTCCTTCAATATCCAGCACCTGCCAACCTTTCCTACCTTCTTTGCTGCCAGTTTGTCTACTTCAGACAGGTGGGCATGTCCCTTCATCCATGAGGGAATTCTCTCACCTGCTTCAGTGAGCTTCTCTCTCTGCCCCGCTTGGTACATGACGTTTTCCTCGGCCTGAATGGGCCGTCTCCCTTTTGTGTACCTGTGAACTCCTCTTCATTGTTTAAAACTTGCCTTACATGGAATCTCCTCAGGTACTTTCCCATCACAGTGACTTGACTTCTCCTTTGTACTCTGGGTTCTGTTTCCCATTGCACATAACTCTGCTGGAACAGGGTTCAGTTCTGTATTATAATTGGAGATTTTTATGTCTATATACTGTGGGTGGTGACATTATGTTCATCTTTGTAGTAGAACTTCACCCAATGCCTGGCATTTACTGTGTGTCTTAGTCAGTTTTCTGTTGCTTATAACAGAATACCTGAAACTGGGTAATTTATAAAGAAAAGGAATTTATTTCTTATGGTTACAGAGGCTGAGAAGTCCAAGGCCAAGGGGCCGCATCTGGGGAGAGCCTTCTTGCTTTGAGGGCCACTGCAGAGCCCCGAGGTGGGGCAGGACATCACATGGTGAGGAGCTGAGAATGCTAGTGCTTGCTCAGGTGTCTCTTCCTCTTCTTGTAAACAAAGCCACCAATTCCACTCTAATGATAACCCATTAATCCATTAACCTATTAACCCATTGATCTGTTAATCCATTCGTGAGGGCAGAGCCTTCTTGGTCCAATCACCTCTTAAATGCCATGCCTTTCAATACCACCACATTGGGGATTAAGTTTCTAACACATGAAATCTGGAGGACACATTCAAACCATAGCAATAGGTGCCTAATAAATTGTTGAAGAAATGTATATATTTCTCTCCCAGAGTAATCTTCTCATTCAAATCCCCGTAATAATTTGTGCACATATATGTATTTACCAACAGATTATGAGCTCAGAGAGTGATACTTGTCTGTCAGAGTGATTGTGAGAATTAAAGAAGCTATAGATAACAGTGGCTAATTCATTAGTAGTTTATAACTTTGTAACAACTATCTGTATAATTTTCTGTTTATTGTTTGTTTAAATACAGATGAGTGGCCCCCACCTACTGAATCAGATCTCCCAGGGGCGGGGCCTGCGCATGAGTCTCACAGGTGATTCTGAGGCACAGCCCTCATGATTGAAACTCACGTGCCGGCTAAGTTCCGTTTTGTAACTCCAGGACCTAGCTCAGAGACCAGCAATACAGTAGGTACTCACTACATATAGATTGAGTTGAAATTGAAAGAAGTTTTCAATATTCAAAATGCAACAAATTTTATATCCTAACAAGCCAAGAGGTTGAGGTAAAAAGGCAGATTTAGGTTAAAGGGGCTTAGGCCAAAATTTGATTCTGGGTCCCTCATTGTTAGGTCTGTACTTGAGTAAACTCTGCTGCTCCCACTTCCTTCCACTCTCTGCCCACCTTCCTGCTTTTATTATATAGTAAGAAAATCTACTCTCTGCCCAACTACAACCCCCACAGACCCCAAACACCCAGGTTTCTAAGAAGTTGCTTCCTGGCCTCTTGATTCGGCTGCAGTCTACTCTCTAGGACCTCTCCCGCAATCTTCCTCTCTCATAACCAGCGCATTTCATTGATCCTCAGATCCTGTTGACTGTTTTCATATAGTAGCTCTTGAATTTGTGCCTTCCTTCCAAAACCCAACGTCATTGTCTTTGTTCAGGCCTTCATTCTTTCTTGCCTGGATTATGCCAAATAGCATCCTAATCCGTCTCCCTGCCAGTCTCACCATCTCCAACGTAGCCTCTGTACTGCTACTAAAAACTATTAATATCTTTCTCAAGAGCCATTCTAGTCACATCACTCCCAATCTCAAACTACTATAGTTCTTCCTATTGTTTCCTTGGCCCAGCACACAGGAGCTGTCTCATCAGCCCCACCTTTTATCCTTGCACCCACCATTCCTGAAACTCTAGTCATACAGACCATTTCAGCCGTGGTCCTTAGGTTTAACAAGAAACAGAAACCAACTCTGGTTGCTCATAGCTCACTGCAACTGCACACTCCTGGGTTCAAGTGATCTTCCTGTCTCAGCCTCCTGAGTAGCTGGGCATACAGGTATTTACCACCACACCTGCTAATGTTTTTATTCTTTGTAAAGACGGGGTCTTGCCATGTTGCTTAGGCTTGTCTCAAATTCCTGGCCTCAAGAGATCCTCCCACCTCAGCTTTCCAAAAGCTCTGG